TTTGGATAAATTTCTGACAATCAAAATAAAAAACCAGAAACATTAATGATAATGAATTGACAGTTAGAGTGTTTAATTTAATTACCACAAATAAGAGATCTGCCTTCTTTAGCCAAGTATAATTTCTAGGGTCCAAATTGACATCCAATGGTCCTATTGCAAAGAAATTTCCTATTCCAGCACCAGAGCCCCCCTGTAGTTGAATTGGACAAAAATTAGAAGACAGTTCAGAATATATTTTTTTTAATAATTAGATATGATTACAATTACAGGGCCTCCTTCGAGCCAGAGTACTGTTGGCCATGGATGGGATGGATCTTCAACTCTGTATGGACTTCTATAAAGCCACCAAAATAAATGGGCCTCTGCATTGCACAATTCAATAATAAAAACATTAGCAATTTAGCATTTGAGAAAAAAAAAATTGAGTATGATAAAAAATTGTAATTTAAAGATCTCAAACTCAAAATTTTAGACATAAGAACAGTGAACACTAACTTGATCGAACTTCAACGTATCCCCATTGTTCAGACGACCATCATCAGTTCCGGCAGCCAAGGCATGATGGCCCCAAAGAAACCGAAGGAAAACACAAAGGAGAGAATAAGAAGAGGCTGATTTCCCATGGCAACACTTCAGTACTACTTAAGGGATGCTCTAGCCATCTCTCTCCTACCCCTTTTTATACTAGGTGCAACTCTTTTTTTTATAATGGGGGAAAGATAAAAGGTTATAGGAAGTCATTATATGCAATGGAAAGACAGGGAACGATATGCCCGAGGTGAAAAACAATGCATCATATTTTACTTTGCATCAAAAGCAAGCACGGTACATGCATCTCAAAATTCAGGAAACATCAATTACTTGGAATTTTTAATTTTTTTTTTGATAATCTAAAATTTTAATTATTTGACCATACAATGTAATTTTCTGATTTATAAAGCAATTCCCAACCCCTTTGCCGGGCTTTGCACATGACTAAAAGGAAATTAATATTCCTAGTACTATTTAGGACCTATTTGGTTCTCTTTCTCCAAGAAAGCCACATTCAAAAAAATAGCTTGGCTGTGTCCACAATTTACAATTTCTCGACATAAATCCCAAAAAATAAAGCCAACAGTTGCAAAAAGGAATACGTGCTCTTAAATATATGTATACCGAAAATTGTATTTTAAATATGTATAAACCAAAAACTACAACCTGAGCTTAATTGTATTTTAAAATTTTCTTTTATTGTTTTAAAAAAATGTGTGTATCAAAAAACCGTTTATCAAAATGTTAAAGAGAAACATGTGTGCTTTTATATCTATATATATATATATATATTCCACTTATGGGTTTTATTTATTATAGAGGTCTAAGTAAAGGTTAAATCTAATAAAAAATATAATACAATGAAAACTCCCACTCTTACATACAAAAATCACAAGTTCAATCTTCATATAAAACTTGATGTGATGTGATCATTGGTACCATTAGCTAATTGAGCAACAACTGGTGATTCTAATTTTCTAAACATTTCAACCACTTAAATGTATTAGGTTTTTTCTTTTAGAAAAAAAAATTAGTGACACTCAAATGTGCTAGTTTCGATATAAATATAATAATAATATTAACTTATACATATTATGACTTTTAAAATTAAGTAATGATTAAAGACTTATAAACATCGTATGACCTTTTGTCAAATAAGCAGTTGACAAATAAATACTTCATATTTAATGAAAATTTTTGAAGCAGCCTAAATTAGGGCATAAACTTAGCCCAAATTCATGGGACATGTCTCATATGCAACATTTAACACGCATGTGCCCCAGCAATGCAGCTTCATGACCTTTTGAACTTGGAAAAGGGCAGTCTATATTAAAAGAGATTAACTTAATGTGGGTATTGAGTTTGGCTAAATTTAATATTTCGTCTATTACCTATACATCCAATATCAATCTAGTTTAGAAACTATTTTTTTCTCCCTAATTGGTCCAGGTACGATGAAAAGCTTACCAAAATGATCTCTCCACCCATCCTTCCATTTGTTAGATGAACTGAGATCCATACAAGCATCTCATGTGGCATAAAGTAAACTATAACTAGCTGCCACACCACATGGATGACTTAGAAAAATGACTTTAGGATGATTTATAAGAGAGCAGCAACCTAGAAAACTACATTAATATGGAGTCAACGTATCAGACACATTACCTTTTGTTCTTCAAGAGGACAATGATGTCTGCAGCTTCAGCAGTTGAAACATAAGATGGAGACTATGGCCAATCTGTAGGCCTCTGATAACTAACACAGTTAGAAGAACTGTTTCTTGTTGTTGGAGGCTGGGTAGAATTTGGGGAGCTAACTAAAGAAGGATACCAAGAATGTGATGAACACTCTTGTGGACGTGGCTGAGCTTGTTGCTCCTGTGAACTCCTGGAGGTAGACATGAACAGAACTTTAGCAGAGTAACATAAAAATGACGAAAATTCTGTGAGCAGAAATGAAGATATGTCTCATAGTTGGTTAAGCCCTAGGAGGAAATTAATTAAAAAGACTGCAAATTTTTTCAGTGCCTACACACAGACAAACACACATGTTATTTTCTTGTACAAGTTTGCATTAAAAGCAAAAAGAACAACCATCCGAAGGTATCTGGTCACCTGGTAAATGCTTTCTGAAGCAGCAAAAAAACATAAAACGTATTAAAAGCAAACAGAGTGCACTGTAAATATATTAGCCATTCACAATGGTCATCATTCTTAAGGCTTCCTTTGAGAATGCTTTCCACGGATCTTTTCCACACAGCATCTAAAGGAATTGGACAACCGAGACCCTTCAAACTATCATCATGAGGAATACAGTTCTTTCTCACTCAATCAAAACACCTCTCTTTCAACCTTATACATGAGTAGTATATTTTGCAGGTTGTTACAATAGCTGACCTGTTTGCTCTTTTTAACGCAGGACAACCAGACCACAGGATGGTTCCAAATGTAATTACCCTCAAACATCAACTAACCTAATTTTCTTCAATGGAAAAGTCAATTGAAGTCCAATAAATCAATATGAATAATTTCTATCAACAACACTGACATTGCAAGCTAGCTTAATGTTAAATTAATTAAAATGCCAATTCAGCAAGTATATATGATCACAAGCAAAAAAAAAGCATTAAATTTTATTTAACGGCTGAATAATTAAGCAAGCAACATCAAAATTCATACATAAAATAGAAAAAAATGAAACCGAAGCTATGTCAAAGCACAATTGAAATTAGTAAAGAAATAAGCATCATAAAAGAGATTATTAATGGACGTTCAAATGATTAAAAGTTTGAATTTTCATATTGGAAATCTCTCAAGTTTGAATCATAAACATGTTGGGAGGGGTTTGGGAAGTGAAGGTTCATTCCTACCTATCATATGAGGTACAAAAATAAAAAAAGGAAATGAAAGATATTACCAGAACTTGAACTTAGCTCGGAAGATCCTTTACCGTGGAATAGAAGGATCTAAACCTTAAAAACTGTAAGAACTACAGAGACGAAGACAAATAAGAAGAGATGAATGATGAATGAGTTCCCTGAGTTTTTGTTTCGGTTTCTGTTCAGGCAATGAGAGTAAAATAAACAAAAAATGAACTCGGTGATCTGTTCGTGTTGTTTGGTGTTTCACATGTACAGTGATAATCATTATTGGTTAGAAGTGCTACGGATTGGCTCACGGGCCAAGTTGGGGTTGATTCATGGGACTTTGGCCAACTTAGGTAACTATTTTGTTTACACGAAAAATATTTACAGTATTTATTTATACATCTATCAATGTTAATCCGTTGGAAACTTTAAAAACTTAAAATGAAAAATAATCGTTATACAATGTAAAACAATCATATTTTATTTTTTATCTCATTTTACTTGTGTATCATACAATTTAAACTTAAAACTTTTTATTTATAGTGAAAGAAAATGATCATTGAACTATTTAAGTTATTGGTTAATAAAGTATTATTAAAAAGATAAAATTACTTTACTTTTAATAATAATTTATTAAAATAACATAATTTTAATATATTTTTAATTTTTATTTCTTAAAAAGTCCGATAGAGAATCTTTCTTCCAATTATTAATTACATAAAAGAAGAATAAAATTTACAAACTTAACTTAATAGTCGAATTAGTTTTCACTCTCATCCACTCCCCTCCAAACCAAACATACTTCATCTCTGAGGCAACAAATAGCATATATTTATAACTTGATATGCCAAAATAAAAATCTTCTACTCACAGCCAACCACATAAGCAAAATTATACTATAAATAATATAATTTTTATTTATTTTATTAAAAGTTTTGTTTTCTCCAATATCTTAATTGTAATTCTTACCTAGTTACATATAATTTCATCAAAATTTTGGATTGTTTAACTACATTTTTAACATCTTTTAGCTTCTAACTAAAATAGTTATGAAGCTTATTTTTGGTATATATATATTTGTTACTCATTCTATTATCATGTTCCGTGGTTCACATACAACTTAATAAGAATCCCTAACATTTTCATTTGAAAAATGTTTTGCAATCAATGAATTTTGTAATTGCATGACAAATTAACGGTCACAAGATTGATTTTTCCCTTACAAGACGTGCAATTTGTTTTTTGGTTTTTTTTGGCCCTCGCCATATCTTTCCTTGTTGATCATGTAAGTTGCATGGTTAAGAAATCAGTTTGCCAACAAATATAGCTTTATTTTCTTGTTCAAATAGTATACATGTAAAAGGATATTAATTGATATATCATCCGATTTAAAACATCACACAAAATATTTATTAAAAAGTTATTATTTTTTATATGAAATAAAAATTAGATAAATTTAAAGATATAATTATGTATACAATATCTAAAAATCAATTGAATTAGTTATATTTATATTATATTTTAATAATTCAATTAAACTGGTATCAAAATGTATTTTGAATTAGAAGATGTACTAATTATTTTTCAATATAAAAGAATAATTGTACTCGAGATTCTATTAAGAGATTATACATGAGTAAAGTACAAGATTGGGGTGGGAATTAGTTTCCATCAACAAGATGGCAATAAAAGTACATAATTATGTTGAATGGAGGGCGATCCAATCCATCATTATTGAAAATGGGAGAGTTTCAATCGATTAGCAATGGTATACATACATAAATAGGGTGTTTTGAAGAGAATGTTTAATTTGGCGATCTGGTAATTGTGCCCACCATTTGCAAAGAAGTACAGGGTTGATCAACAGGAACCTGCAAAACAAATAACACAAAGTTTCATTAATATGAAAATTGAGTTTCAAGACCTCTCTAAACAATTTGGCTAAGAAAATCAAAACTCTGAACAACACTTTGTGACCACTCACATAATGACCAGCCCCCAAAATCCAGTAGAAAGAAAAATTCTTGTAAGATCTACTAAATGCTTTAGTAGAAGTGTCATTTTGTCCACAATACAATGGGATGCGATCCAAACTCTGAAATTTCTTCAAACCATCCCACCTAAAATACAGAATGTTAAAACAATTGATTAATTTTTCTTCCAAGAGAAAAGGTGCTTAATTTGAATTTTTTTTTTAATTAACATGACTGATGCATGTAGGTCAGTGCATACTGGAGCTTGTTAATCCATGATTCTACTCCTTTGGTTGAGCATATAAGATCAATCTATCAAAAAATGGTGAAGGAAGGAAAAAGATGTTAAATACATATATACTTGTTGATCTTAAGAAATTGGATTCAAAATTAACATGTTTAATTATCTCTTTACCTGTCCATTATATATTGTTACATTGACACCCTTGGCTAGGAGCTCATCCACCTCTCTTATTCTTGGTTTCATAAAATCACCCGCAATCGCTTCAAAAACATCAGAAGAAGATGGTTTCCATCTGCAATAAAGCCATTAAATTAAACCGTTTAGTGAGAGCTAAGCTTTATAGTTTACGTTGTATACGTATGTGTACGTATGTGCATGTAACATGTTTGTGTTCCAGTAATGAACTCACGTTACATTCTGAGGAATAATCTTCAACTTTTTTCTAACAAGCTCATTCATCAATTTAGTAATGGCGCCTGCATCATAGTCAATGGGATCATCTTGGGAATCCAGTAAGAAGTTATAAAAATCCTGCAAATGCATGTTCCGAATGAAAATTATCTCTCCAAATTATATATTTGATAAGTCAGTATGTAATTGTGTGAAATGTGTGTGCGCATACGAGTGCATATTAAAGGGACTTACCACATCGTTACTGTGTTTCAAAACAACACTCTCAGATTCACCCCATGTTGATGTTGCATTCGTGAAAGCACCTTGTGCAAGCTGGGTA